TAAGTAATTTTTTTATCTTTTATGGTTTCAAAGAATAGCCCAAATCATATTAATAATAAACTCAAATGTAAACCAACTGTACACAAACTCCTAGCTGATAATCCAATAAATATCTGAAATAAGCATTGACAAATGATTCGCAAATTTTAAATTATTTATGATGTACTTTGTTTGATCAATACAATTATATATATTATAATTATTTATAATTAATTGTGTTATTGTTTTACAGTATCATTAGTCATTACAATAAAAAAATAAAATAATAATAAGTTTCTAATTCTTATACGATATTATGATGCAGGCTATATGGTGTACTACTACTAGACTGAATAGTATTCAAACATGTTAAATATTTTTGAAGATAATATAAATAATTATACTGCAGGTACAAAAATTATACAAGACTAATATTGCCAAAATTGGTTAACTTTCGTTGAAAATTGATGCAGTCATATCATTATATCAATTACATATTTTGATGAACTATAATCTGTTTGAACTAATTTGTTCCATTAACAAATTCAAAAGATTCAATAATTTATTATATATTTTATTATTTTAATATAATTGATAGATTTTATATGTAGATATTCATAACATTGAAAGTTTATCATTATCTATTATTGAATGGGCCGCATGCTTAGTGGCTGGTGCTGATATTTTTGTTTACTGTGAATATAAGTAATAATAATTGATCGTTATTCGTTACCTATATAGGTACAGAGGTCAAATACACTGTTGATCGCATATTATAACGGCTTTGAATGCGTAATGAAATCATAAAATAATTGTATTTTTTTTCTACAGAATCTATAAAACGCGCATGTAGCCTACGCAAAACGATCATTATGTGTAATAAGTTCAAAAAGAGTTTTGAGATAAGACATTTTAAGATGATCATTGCCATTGCCCGTCGGAACAGTATAAGTCATCACTTATCAGTGTACAATTAAATATAGATTACGCAACAACTGTCATACATACTACGTGACGCCGAGACCACGTGAAGATAAACAAATGTATGCCAAAATATTCACGTTCGTCTAGTTGTGCAACACAACAGTGACAGAGTGACAGTGTCTCCGTAATTATAAACAACGTATTTATTATTATTCGAAAATAATAAGAACAACAAGAAATACCCTGCAATCGTTCAAAATATTATGTATATGATGAGTGATGACATTGTATTAAAATATGTTATTAATTGTTTCATCTGACAATTTCGAAAATATAATATTGAATATATTAAAATCGATAAAGAGTGTTGGTACATTTATAACAATGTTGATGTTCTTAACTGAAACTGTATAGGAGGCAGGTAAAAGTGAACAAGGTTAGTCGCTTAGGATCAACTAGATTAAAATTGAAATAGTTGGGGAAATAAACGTTACACGTAAAGTAGATAAGGATAAAGAAATATCAATTTTAAATATTTATAATTGAGTCATGAACAATTAAATAACTCTAATTGAATATTTAAAAATTCTTGGATGTAAATGTAATTTAATCCAAACTAAGAAGTCCTACCTACTTTATATCGTATCTTATATATCTATACATTTTTTATCAATTTGTAGGTATAGGTATACTTATTAATTAATACGATTTATTTAATAATAATAAATGTTTAATTTATAACTGTCAATCAATTGGGTGGTTTGAATTATCGACCCTTCAAATTTCCATTTTTGACAATAGACAAAATGTGTGCGATTGTGAACAGTAAGTGTGCCGCGGTTTTGGACGAAAGCTCATAATAAATTGTGTATTTGTATGGCTTAATTTTATGTTAAAAATTAAAACAATGCACCATGCACCTATGACCTACTTAACCGTTATGTAATATATCCTGACGGTTTTCCATCGTTTCAATAGAAAATTTACTCGTTTAATGTAGTGAAAAATGCCCGTGCCATGTATTTCAGTGTTATTGTGTTCTACCGAGCTCGTCTGTCGCTGTAGCCTGTAATTATATTATACGCGTAGTATTACAATAATAATTATGTATGATAAAATATAATAATAATATGATGATGATTTGGACATTAAATTATTCTACTACGAAATGGATTAAATTTAAAATAACACAAGTACCTATAAATTTCTTAAAATACATGCACATATTCGTTTATTCGTATACAATGTACAGTTCATATCGTGCCAATTATTTTTACGTCATTCAGAAAACAGATTATAATATGAGAATACTGCGATTTAAATAACAAGTACACAACGTGTATAAGAGTTGCATACTGTAAATAAGGTCGAGTGCGCTCATAAAACGGCGTTAAGGTTCAATAACAATAATAATATGTTATATTATATGATAAATTATAATGTATCGAACGATTAACGTAATTTTCTCGTACAAGAACATGATGGTTGTAATTTGTAAGCAATTAAATTTTATCGTCTCGCAAATAAAATAATATAACATCAACGACGACGTGCTCTCTTGTGAAAAATTACTCGTAACTCAATAGCACACCTGAAAACAAAATACAATTCTTTAACGGCCCGGAAATAGTGTTTAATAATGTATGACGTAAAACCACCATACTGGCATCTTAAATGCAGATAAACCACCCTAAACATAATCGTTATTTTAATTTATTTATTAATGATTGAAGATTGTATAAATATACTCAAATAATTATAAGTTCTTCACACAAATATTTTTTTTTTTTTGGATCCCTTCCGATTTTCACAGAAAACAATTTCTATGTGCGTTACAACATAAGGGTATAGATGTAAATAATACTAAACAATACAAAATATACCAACAATTTGTTGAGCCCGAAAATGATTTATTTTTTGTTGAAACGGATATCAAGTACTTCCAAGTGCGAAATGCAAATGTCATGCTCACTCATTTCAATTTGACGTTGATTGTTATTTGTTAATATGTGAGCGTATTCCACCGGCCCACAGTGATACCTGTATTATGTAAATAATGAATAAAACCAAAAGTAACAGGTTTTAAAAACGTTTCCTACTCTCTAACACGGGTAATATTATTTTTACTGATTATAATATCATATTGTATAATACGAAACTCGAATTATATACATGCGCCTTTATACTTATATCATTATTATATTAGTAATTTAGTCTGCACTCTGCAGCGACAGTAGCACGTGGCTCTTCTAATTAGGTTTTTGAAGTGTGATTGTCCCTCTCCTCCTTCTTCCATCCCACCAAAAACCAGTACAATCCACTATACAATCGCTCATGTGGATTATGGATAGCCTGCCGAATATCGCAATCGTGACTGATCGATTGGAGGGCAATTCACAAGTTTTTTTTTACGTTTTGCACAATAATATTTGACAAACCACGGTTCGTTTTAGGATTGATGTAGGCGCGTTCTTTCCGTACAACGACAGAAAATCCTCGTCGAGCATACAAATCTGAGAGAATACATAATATAAAGAACCGTTCTCATTTCTAGCAACGAATTAGTACAAGAAACTAATTATGGCAGTAAATAAGCCGCGGCGATCGACCGTCGACCCGTCCGGACGCGAATCCATAGAGCTCGTGGCTGCATAGCTGCAGTATTGTCTGTGTATAATAATGTATATTAAAATATCACAAATATCACAAATATCGCAACATCATCGTATCATTGCGGCGTGCGTGTTACGACGACGGCGACGACTAGACGCGGAAAAGCCTCGGGCGCACGATGCGATTAAAAAGTAATAGGGATAAAAACCACTTTCCCCGGCGCAAGCGATCCGGTCCGTAACACGTATTGCGTAAGGCGGCCGTTCACTATTACTACCTATTTACTATATCTCACTCTATACCAACACTGCGACTATAATACTATTCACAATACCGGTCTGCACGGCATTATATATACATATATATATATATATTATATAGATAGGTTACTCGTATACAACAATAATAACACGAGTATACCTTATTTTTTATGTTGCAGTCTATTTAGGTGTATCCGATATCCATATTACCGGCGTCCCCCTCCGTCGGACTCGTGTCTGCGTGCATCGTTAAAAAATCACTTCCTCTTTCTCTTATACCGCGCACAGTGAGTTGGTGTATACTGCAGCGATGATGGTGTACCATTATAATAAATTATAAAATCATATTTATATATACATATATATATATATATAAGAGGAAAAGAACAGCGGACCACTATAATAATGCGCAACGCTATTCAATAATAAAATCAAATTTAATAATGCTGTACGTCTGTTACTGTATTGAGTATTCTTAAATACGGCGATTTCGTTGCGTGGGTAGCAGCGGTGACTATAGCCAACACTTTTTTATAAAGCGACAACACTGCACAAACCGGACGGCCAGATTTCAAGTTTCAACTTGGAAACGCATACACTGGAGAGGAGGTATATAGAAATAAAACAATACAAGCGAGGTTCTTTTTTTTATCGATATATTTTTATTATTACTTTTTTCATTTTCACTATCAACCAAACACACGTTATAATATTAATAATAATATAATAATAATAAAAATAAGAGTAATACAAAACTGGTTTGTCAGGATGACATTTGGATAATAATTAAGTACAATTTCGATAGAACACACATAAATACATAATACATAATAATAATGTGTATATAAATACTAATTTTTCAACATAACCAATAAGGACAAAGGTAATTAATTTGTTGTTATACATCAAACAGCAGAGTAGCTAACGAGGGTTGGCTAAATACATAAATATAGAAAAAAATAAATAAAAACTCAATATAATCGATTTTTTAAAAAATATTAAAAGTACAAAAAGAACGACTGGGGAGGTACGTTCTGCCAAAATAATAAATTAATAAATTACGATTCTACAGTATAGTAAATACGAGCTTAACACACGAATACAAATAAAAAGATAAATAAGTCACACACGACGAGCACATATACACACATAAGTTTTAAGTCGAGTTGAGTTAATTCTGCGTAGAACACGGATAGGAGATTGGAAAAGATAGCGTCATTTTTATTTTTTTTTTTTTTTACAAACTTACACGGGATCAGACATTAATAATGTATAAATTAAATTGATTGAGTTCTCACAAAACGGGTTGATAATGTTTAATTTTTATAATACAAAACATTGAAAAAACAAACGTTACCGGCGTCTGTGTTGTACACACACACACACACACACCTGCGCCGTAAGGTTTACACGCGTTACCATTGCATAGAATGGATGGCGCGTATGGTAGGTACGTTGAGCGTGGCATGTATATTTAAATGTACACAATAAATATAATAATATTAAAGTTGTTATGCGAGTCGGTCAGCGTGCGTATAATATTAAAAATAATAATTAAATAAATAAACAGTTTTTTTTTTTTTTAGTTAAGTTATGTGAATAGTAGTTATAAAAGAGAGGAGTAATAATAATAATAATAATAATAATAATAATCATAACATTGAAGTCAGTTTGATGAAAGTATGTAGTAATAATTATAATAATAATAATAATGGTTTGACGTAAGCATACGAACGCAATACGTACTGACGTGATCGGTGGGCAGTACCGTTCTAAAGGACAAATTCTGAGAAAAACGCGAGTGGCGACGAGCGCAGTGGTCTGATAGCACGTACACCGATACAGATCCGAAAAACGCGACTTCCGGCCAGTTTCCGGTAGCAATCAGACGCTGCGCTCGGTTCCTTATCTCCCAGAAATGTTCCCCGTAGAACGCCTATAACCCACCGATTACGACCATCCAAACTTAATCACGTCCATATACGTACAGTCAAAATAATATTAATAATAATAATAATAATAATAATAATTATAAAAATAATAATAATAAAAATAACGGCACCCCGCGCGGTACGACGGGGTGCACCGGTTAACGCGGACCAAAACTAATGCTAAATAACATAATAATAATAATAATAATAATAATATACGAGTATAATAATTAATAAGTAATAATAATAATTAATAAGAATAAATCGAGTAAAATCGTTACGGGCGTATGGTTATCGGTTTCTTTTCGTTTCTTTTTCTTTTAATCACGCGCGAGGGAGAGTGAATTGGTGAGTGGGGGAGAGAGGGAGAATGAGAGAGAGTATGTGTGTGTGCGAATACGATAGGAATGATTAAATAGTATAGTAGTATAGTACCTATACAGTACATATACGACATAATAATATTACATAAGTTAAGCGTAAGTATAAAAATTCGGAACATCAGATTAATATCATAATAATTGTCTGTAAAACGAACGCCGTTAAAGTTGTAAAAAAAAAAGAAAAAATACTAAATTAATTAACGAGAAATATAATTTAAACTATGTACAAGACTGTTATCACGTTTTGGTATATATAAAAAAAAATTAGAACAATGTGGCAACTGCCGATGGGCGGGGGGTGGGGGACGCTCAGAACCCGTAAAAACCAAAATCTGGTTCGGGTTCGCTGAGGCGGCGCGGTACGACTGTGGCCGGCACGTGGAACGAGAACACGTCACCTGTGGCCGGTGGAGAGCCGGACAGCCTGTTGAACACTGGTAATCGGCCCTCGGGCGACTGCGGCGGCGTGAACATGCTGTCAAGCATGCCGAGCCCGAGGTCGGCCAGCGAACCATCGCTGCCGATGCCGGACGACGATGAGGTGGATAGCGGCGGCGAAGCAGGCGACGCTGGCTGTATGTAACCGTCGCCCTTGTGCACGAAATGGCATCGCTGACCGTAAGGGCAGTAACCGGCTGAATTGAACGAGCGGCACGGTTCTGTCTTGTACTTGGGATGCCTGAACACCGGGCGCAGATCCTGTTCACCGTGAGCGAACTGACACTTGTCGCCGTACGCACACTTGATTTTCTCGATGTACTGACGGCACATTTCCGTCTTGTATCGCGAGCCCATCGGTGCCTGGGGCGGCAACGGCTGTTGATCGTCAGTCAGTTGCTGTGGTTGCTGCTGTTGCTGCTTACCAGATCCACCGCCCCCGCGACGACCCTGTCCCTGGCGGCGTCTGGGTTCCGATGACACGGATCCCTGATTGCTGCTCCCACTGTTGCTGCTGCCCGTCGACGACACCATCTCTTGCCACCAGTGTTCCACTTCTGTGGCCACTGCGCGCGGTCGATTCTGTGTCTGCGGAAAAAGAAAATACAATTAAATTTGTAGAATAAAATATCATTTTTTATAAGCTACGATTCGTACATAATTAGATGCCGCGCTGGTAGGTAGGGAGAAAAGCGAGAGGTGACAGAGTATTTATTTTATAATATCATAAAATATGTTATATAAGTATTAATACAGGTACTCGAGCGATGCGGTGCGTAAAGAGAAACCTAGTTTAATTTTAATTTTATAATAACGCGATCATCGTATTACAACTAACAAGTTACAACATTTGCACACACGAGGACCGGTATCAAGTTATTCGTTAGGAAATATTACAAAAGAGTTTTTTTGATTTTTTCCATGTTTACCTATAATTTTGTTTATGTACTTTCGTATATTATGCAACGAAAGACTTCATGCCAATACAGGCTCAAATTGTTGATTTACCAGTAACGCAGTTATTCCACATCATAATGGATTATCAGCTAAAATAAAATCTGTCTAAACAGGGTTACTAATTATTAATTTCCGAGATATGACAATAATAATTATAACTGTTATTCCCTAACAATAAACAGAATGCCTAGTTGAGTAGCTACATTAATACTAGAGGGTTACAGAAGTACAGAACCACTCAATATACTAATCGACCAACTATACAAACTATATATTGTACCTGTTGTTTATTTTTCAAAATACATTCAAAATGTTATGTATTTTAATATTTTATACATACAGATTTTTAATTGCATAGGTTGAATGGTATTATTATTAATACCTTGACATATTTTTTGTTTGAAAACGCAATTCCCACCGAAAGTAGACACTGCGACATTTCAAGAAGAATATTGTACTATAACTTTTTTTTATCGTTTTTAGGCTCAAGTAAAATTACAACGTGTGTATTACTGTAATAACATTTTCTCCGCATATGGCACATCAGCATATTATTATGTTCGAGATAGCTGATAATGATTTATCAGTAGACTGCACATGTGCTGTGAATTGTGATAGAATATTAAGTCGACGAATAATTTAAAACATATACAGAAAAAATGATTAATTCACGTTTTAAATGGAAAATCACAATTCAAGTACACACACATTTGTAAGGAAATACATGAATTGATATGTAACATTAATTGTCAGGTTCACATAGCATACACATTATTAATACAACAAGGTTATAAAAAATGATATTTTTTTAGTCAACATGTCGCACACGAGGTTTATTTGTATTCAGTCCCCTCGCGTTAACACTTGATTCAAACGCGTAAAATATGTAAAGAAAATTTTTTCTTTATTTTCAAATTTCTTCCAATAATATTATTGAAATTGATGTAATCATTTTCAGTGTACTAGACGGAGGATTCCGCTTCTATAGACATAATAGTATACACATTACACACTCACATATACATCCGGTCATTATCTATATAGGTACAAACTACATATTCGGGGAGCTGTCTAGACGGACAAAAACATCGCACACGTTACAATAGTAATTTATAAGAAATTGCATTGTGTTTTTTGCTTTTCGACAGATGATAGTCTTAAACCGAGATATGGAAAACATAAAATTCAAACTAACAATCGCATATACAGACATTACATTACTCATAACTGCCATTCCTTATATATTTATTAAGTAATAAATTAAATTGTTTGATTTATTAACGATTACACACTTAGAACGAGGAATACATGTCACTATATAAACGAAATTAAACTAAAAAGATGTCAGTACTTATACATTATAATTTCGATATTCGTATGTGTGTTTTCAGTGAAGTAAAAAATAGAATAACAGGGTAATATTTACATATAAACAATAACGTTTGAGGTAGTTAAATGTTACTAGTTTATTTAACATTAACATATTTATTGTGACCTACTAATTTTCTTAGTAACTACATATACAACGGACTAATCGATCAGTAAATAATTGTTATTATTTTTTAACAAATTTAACAAATTAGGGATAGACCATGGCTAGATCTTTTATAACAAATACTATAAAACTATTATGACGTGTTTATAGTGTTTATTAGTGGTTCAAGAGATAGGTAATCAATGATCATAATAATATGATCTAATTTGAAGATAAAATTGTTAGTAAGACAATATATTGTTTTCATTAAAAATTAATAATTATCATAAGTTTTTTGAACGGCCGGAGACCATGTGTAATATGTCATGTAAACAAAAATGTTCGAAATCAAAACAAAGACAATTTTTCTCCATGATACTATTTTGTCATCTGTAAGCGAAACGCCTGGTTTTTATACCGTGACTACATTCTTAACTATTATATTGGTGTTTTTTGTCTAATAACGAAAATATGCGCAGACACAGATATTACAACAAACGGACACGGTCAGTGTTTAGAAAGTGAAAATATAACCGGTGCGGTCTTGAACGCTGTTGCATAAGGCTGTTGCGATACTCCACACGCACACACAATATTTTCACGTGTAGTAACAAAAAAGAAAAAAATTATCATCGTTTATTGTGTCCCACACCGATAAGTCCGAAAAAAAATTTCGATGACGTTTATGCATTACATCAGTATTCTCTCTTTTAATCTATTTTTATTCCCTTCAAGACGTCGCCGACCATGTCGCTGTCGTGGGAAACACGTCACACAGACACACACACACGCAGACAAATGTATGCGATTACGCGACAACTTCGGGAAGGACGAAGAAAGTGAAAAAAATAAAATATTCAAGTCGAAAACACGTGACTAATGATAAAAATTTTAAAAAGATGTACCCGAGTGCAAAATGTATGTCATCCGCGAAATGCGCTCGCCAAAAAACGCAACGTAACGTCAACAAGCGAAGATGTAGTCAAATTAAGCGCTAACTCAAAACGATATTGAATTGATAATGATTACCCATTGTCACCGTCTACTAACCATTCCCGTATAAAATATTTTTGTACACACACACTCACATTATATTATGTATATAGGACGGACGGGCGTCTTCTTGTGTACGATTTTTTAGTGACAAGGTCACGTAGTGTGCTTGTGTGTGCAATTATACGCAGCGGTAAGCACTACCGGGATAGCGTATACACATAATTTAATAATACCTAATAATAATAATATTAATAATATTCAACTATACGGGATATACATGTATTAATATTCTCTAGGGAAGGAGAAATGAGTATTGGGTTTTTGAGTCTTTTTTTTTCAACTATATCGTCGTTTTTACTACGAGCCGGTTACGTTTACAAATTAAAAAAAAATGTGTGACAGTGGCAAATTTTATTTATTTGAAATTGGTTTGAGCTTGCAGCTGCCCACGTGTTATTTATGTATGGGCCGCGCTGCGCACTACTATATAATGATCGTCGGGTCTCATACAGTATGAGCGCGGGGTGTGGTAGTGGTGATGGCGGCGGCGACGTCAACTTCCTGGTCGAGTAGCGAATTTCCTTTCTCTTGTTTCTCTTACACATGTGACCCCCCCGGGGGCAAGGACGTGTACGATAACCTAAACGTCCTAAACTATAAATCGTTTGTCCTTATTTTTATTGCTGCTTTTTCAAAAATGTACGATAACAATACGTCATAATGTAGTATTACTTAGTAAAATCGAACATCGGATACTACAAACAATATAGATCCATATACCAATAGAGGTACCTAACGTCTGTGTTTGAACATGGTCGCATTTTAACTAGCGATCGACCCTCACAGACGATATACGATAAAACGCATGGTATTTCTTCGAACCAAATAAAAACGTTAATTTATCGCCGTTCATTTACCTAAATAATAGATGTGTAGACATACGTACGACACTACGACTACATTATGTCAAGTACGGCCAACAATGCGGTCGATGACACGATGGTATATTTGAAAATGTACGTTTTTTTTTAAATTTTAATCCAATACCAATTCAAGATAATAGTTTTTTTTCGTATTAGTAGGTACCTTGAAACTCATTTCGAGTGTATAAAAGCCGTATTTGGTTATCGATTACGAGGATTGAAACGTGACAATAGGATTTGTGAGAAAATTTGTGGTCGTCTATTTGTTTTTGGTGAAACATTGTCTTAACGGTTTTCCCAAGAGCAGAGAAAACCGGAAGACAGCCGTATAACGGAGGAGTCTCGAACCGTGACCACTTTCGATTTTTATGAAATCATATGAACGGCGGTTAATTTGCTTATTCAACAATTCGAAATCATTATTATGATTATTTTTATTATTATTATATATTATCTTATCGCGTTAGGGATTTTGATTGGAGCACTTAAACGGTGTAAATAGCGAAAATGTAAACACGCAATGAGGATGAGCTATCGAAATTGATAAAAATAAAAGGCGATATCATAAATCATAATATAAAACGTTCGGTATTACCGTGACCTTAAAGTTTATCGCTCTACCTGCTCGTTATTGAGTATAATATTAGTGTACTGTGTACATGTAACCCACGACAAAATCGATTTTAAGAAAGATATTGTTATTTTTATATGCAAATTTGCTTCATCTCCATACCTACAAAAATAAAATGTTCGTGTCTTATTTGTACAATGAAATTGCAAGGAGCGCAAGAGAATCATTGTCAAAGCCCCAAGGTAAAAATATTATAAACGTGTGTTCAGTATTAGAAGTGTACACCATTTTAGACCATACTACGTTCTACACTAGCAGTAAGTAGTAACGTAGTAAACACAACAGCCAATTGATCGAATATATTCAGCACTAGTAGGGACAGACACACTACAATCGAACAAATGCGATGGCCTTCACAATTTATAATAAGTACCTACCTAAAATGTCAAATAGCGACAAATCAAACGTATTTGGCCTTTATAACCGTAGAACACATTATCAGTTATATAATCACGTGTGAGCTAGTGTATCCGTATGGTACTATGGTGTGGGGATTGAAAAAAAACCTGTTGGAATAGAAAATGTATGTCTGCACATACGACGGTCGTTATGCTTTGTGCGTGTGAGAAAGACGAAATATAACGTGAGCGGGCGGAGCGGGATGGACCCTTGCCGAGCACACAAAGGGGATCGAACAGGTGGTTGCTGTGTAGGACTAATACCACCCGAAGATTCAGTCGACCCTTCGGGTGGATATGGGGACGAGTAGAAAAACGAGAAAATAAAACGGCAAACAAGAGGTTCATTTATTATTACTACGAGTGTGTGTGTGTGTACACATGCTTTTTCGTTATTGTGTTTAAGCAGCACAAAAACAGACAAAGATGCACCGAAAATATTATCGATAGGTCATAAACCTTATGGACCTAAAACATTAAACCCGAACGGAAAAATGGCTTGCCTGCCGATAACAGCTAATACCCAATTGATGTTATGGAATATTTGTTTCAGAATTACAAACTCGTTCATGTGTTTTTTTATAAATTATTAGTTTGTTAGGTTTTTAAGTCAGCATAACCTATTGGCCAATTAAACCTATTCCGTTATCGCAGACGAGCACGTGATGAGCGGTAACGCAGTAGGGCCGCATCGGAGAAAAACTCGATGTTTCGCGATCACACAACATTTCAACAATACAGTATTAATAATTATTTATATTATTGGTAATTTATATTGATATCATCATGACGCACATCTCCGTGATGAATCGACGTCAACGCTCTCGACGAAGAGGTCCGCCTAACAGAGTGGCGGCAGGGTGTTGGGGATTCGCTAACAATACTGTAAGTTATAATTATAATGTCGAAACAAAAGCCCACCGACAAGCACGTGGCCCACGTGGTCGTACAACAACGTGCTTTACGTGCGTACTCCACGCCACTTACTGCGACACTACTTTCATCATTAACACGATTGGTTATAATAACTTAAATAATTTATAGTATTTGAACTTGAATTAAATTAGTATCATAAAAATATGTATGTGGTATTTACCTTGGCGACTGTTTCTCCACTGTTGAACAACGAGTTGGTCATTTTTTCACGTAGATTGTCAAACTTTTCTGTTTACGTAAATATTTCTGAGACGCACTCGTTTTATTATTTAGTTTTTAATAAATAATAAATTGATTTACCGTTGGCTAATTTCAGCGAGTTGCGTAAAAAACCAAATCGGAAAACAAAACAACACACTGGTTATTATATAACAATATAGGTACTATAATAATAAGTGTATAAATACAATATTATTGTTATAATAATACAATTATTATGTAATGTAACACTGGGCGATTTCGTGTGATGAACAACGACTTTGCCAATCGACGACAGTGGTCAAGAGGTAAAAAAAACAATTGAATACTGTGTATCGAATCGAAAAGCTCGAGCGTTCGTTGTCGCTAGGCACAAGTCGCTAAAAATATACTGAAAAACGCCGTGTAATGGTTGCGGGTAAGAAGCGTGTTCGTCTCGTTAGGCCGCGTATGTACGTGCCGATCGCGTTATTCGGACTGACGAGCGTATGCGGAGGAACAGTCGAGATCGGCCGCGGCGTGCTGGCCGCCGCCCGACAGACGGACGGACTAGTTTGCCCCCCACCCCGCCGCCGCGCGCCGTACCACTCGCGACAACGTCTTCCCGTCAAACCCTCTCTTACAGCCGCCGCACCGCGCCCGCCCGACCAGCCGACGTTCTCGTGTGCGTTTTCTCTGCGCCGCACGTTACGACGGCGCTCGCACCACCCCTCGCATGATTCCCCACCTGTTCAAGGTCGCCGCCACCGCACAGATGATAATATTATTATCGTCGTGTGTAGTACAACGTACGTCGTCTCACGTCACGTGTTTTCGAGGAGTTCGCCGCCGACGACTTGACGCTCGCCACTCCCCAGCCCAATCATAGCCATTTATTGACAAAATAATGATTGATAATAGTGATTGTCGTTATAATATTTTTATAATTGTATCATTTTTTTTTGATATTTTCTGTTTTTCCGCCCCGCCGCGAAACAAGAGTAATGACTAATCACCACTCCGCTTCGACGCGTCCCCCCCAAACTTATGTCTATCGCTCTCATGTGTAATAATATCAAGTCTGTCTGGAGGTTTTACCGTTTAAGTTGGTAGGTTGTTTGAAATGTTTGAATCCAGTGCTTAAATATTATTATCATGTAGCACACTGTGCGATACGTAAATTATACTGGTTCACAATTCGACATTCAAATTTTGTTTTCTACATTCGTTTTGGTTGATCTCAGGCGCTTAGCTAGGGATTTTAAAAGGGGGTTGTTATTCAAAATTGATTGACAAAATTATACACATTAACTTTACATATACTTAATTGTACAATAATACCAACACATTACAAGCGAATAGATAATGGTATGTGCTAAAATTGTTAAATATTAAATTAAATTTAACATGTTAATTTTGTTTCTTATGTATTATTAATAATAAAAAATAAAAATTGTATTTTTAAATTAACTTAATGTGACGAGTTTTGAAAGCTATAGTGTATCTATTATTTCATCCGTGGTTACAACTACCTACATTGCGATGAATATTCATAACCGCTAAAGCATATAAGTGATTTTTAACAGTTGTTTCTTCAATAAGTTTTCAAGCCTCGCCGACGTAAAGATGAAGAAGATCTTTACTTCTTGCTATGTTCATCAACCAATATTAGTAAAAGCCAATGAACACTAAAGGTACGGTTTCCCTGCAACGTCTGGACGCAGCGTCAAGCGTCACTACTGGTCTGGACGTAGGTCGCGTCTAGACGCCGCGTCCGACGCAGCCATGCTGTTCTCGCGTCTGACGTTGCAGGGAAACCGTACCTTACCTTTAAGGAATCTTCCTTTATTGCTGCCCATGAAAACTTCAGTGGCATTTTTAGGAGTTTTGTTTTTTATCTGTTGATGCATTATCTCATATTTACCAACGTACACGTGGTTAGAAGAGATAAGAATGATAAGATAATCATCGTGCAAAAAACGACTAACGACACTAAGCGGTGTAATTAGATAAGCCGGGTCCTTGTTTTACACTATAGTTATCGTGATATATATATCGTTGTGATAAATATTATGTGTACATCACGGTTTATAATGAATCTTTACCTTTATACATTTCAAGACCTAAGTATAATACATTAATACGATGAAGGGGGGAGGGATCACTACACCCGTGAGTCGTTACACCCCGCTGGCTACTCGCCTGGTTGATCTATTGAATTGCATAACAGGTAGATATTAATTTTCTTCATCAAATAAGGAAAATTACGTTATACGTGCCAGACTCTTGGTGTCAGTCCGTGGTTCATAAGTGAATACAACCAATAATTAATGTTTTATTTACTACCTACCTAATCAAATCAAATACACGCATATTACTAATTATTAAATTGGCAATTACAGAAGTACTAATATAAATATAAATACAAAAATATTAAATATACTGAATACATATTATACCCATGTAACACTCGTGATAAATATTGAATAATGATTACTAAATAGTAAATATGTATAAACCTAATATTATACCTGTAGACCTCCTATACATAGACTATGCACATGTATATGCAGTGGAGCAACTAGAAAATAATTTATTTTTGGGGGGAGGGGGTTAAATTGTTTCAATACATATATATATATATAAACATAACATGTAACATGCTGGCTGCCAAAGAACAAGTAGAACAAACGAGATTTTTGAGGGAGTTATAAACTTATAACTCCCAACGTCCCAGGTGTCGCCACTGTCTATATGTATCAAAAATAGTATAATATACCTATTAACCTATTAGGTACCTATATTAGTATATTACACGTATCTATGCATTATATTATTTATTCGATGTATTGTGTCAATAAAATGTAAAAACAATATTGTATTTAAGATTGCCGTATGCCTAATGGTACAAAACGTATGGCATTACTTAGGGCTCTCCGACCTTTTTTACTATAGTCTGAATCTTTTTGGGAGGATTAGTCATCATGTAATGAAATTGAAAAACGAGAAGAATCATTGTATTATTTTATTTATTCGACTGATGTCTTCCTGGTATGTATAATGTATATAGTAAGCATCTTGTAGTCTAAAATAAAAACACCAGTAAGCTTGTAGGGCTGGTTTAAAATCTTTACAAGCTGAAATCGGCTGGTGGATCGTAGTTTGGAGACACCTGCTCTATACACTTTAGCAACGGGGTTTACGATGGAAAGACGAACAAAGAAGTGGCATAATACAAAAGAAAATGAAAAAGAAAAACATTTTTCTCAATGTAAGTAAAATACTAAGCACGCTGCTCACACACGAGGTGTTCACTGTTGAATTTATTATTTTGAATATTTTTATCTTTTGTTTGGACAAGGACAAAAAACAATAATAGGTAGGTAACTACATATTTTGTGCAGAATTTTAGTTAATATATTTTACTAGCATTCAGAGAAGGTATGATTTCATATCGGATATTTGAATTCAAAATTGAAATCTAAAAAGGAGCTTATTTAATAAATACGGTAAAATATGTTATCTGCTGAATTAGCAAGCATGTCTTAAATTATCTACTGTACATATAATATAATAATAATATTGAATGGAATATAAATTATGTAATAACAAATAGTATTATACGATGCGGAAGTGCACGTGTTGTGTAATGAAGAAATTGAAATTTACCATTACTTTTGTTTTTCACTTTCCGAAAATAATATCAGCCCTAAATCCTAATGTACTTATATTTATACCGTTTATGTACGACGATACAATCAATAATAATGATGATCATATATTTTATTCGATATTATTTTTGTTGGTACCTACCTACCTACTGATTAGTGATAAGTGATTACTATACTGAATACTGATGACAATGAAGACTAGGATTATATGGGGTTGATGACACTATGACATGCGGTGGTGTCGTACCGCTTAAGAATAGTGCATCACTACTATTTGTAGTACTAACACAAAAATACAAAACCTTAACAATATTAAAAAACTTAAATATTAACTAAGAATCAACTGTACAGTGTAACCACAACTATCTATTGATGCCGTTTTCGCGGTTGTGCTGGTTTTACTGAAGGTATATCGTTGTTCACATTAGAAATTAAATACAAGTTACTCATTGTAACTCAATGTTAATTTCAATGAATACCCAAGTGTAATGTGTATTAACCTATCACTTATCGGTTACCGGTTTCTTAGTTTATCAGTTTATATCGAAGGCGGAAGGGGTGTAGACGTGTAGAACCTATTACAATATATAGGTGCCATTTCAAGTCATTATTCAAAAAAAATGTATGCATACAAAATACAATAGAAGGTTTTTAAATGTCTAAGATTAAATAACAACATATTCTTTCAACATAATTTGTCAACAATTACATATTTGTTCTGTGTTGTGTTTTTTGTACCATAATAAATTCTATAAAATAAAAAGTATAACCAAACAAAAGTAACAACGGAAATTAATTGATTAATATTTGTATATCAACAAACGTTACGAACTCGTATTTAAAAAAAATGTATCGATACTTAATAATTATATTACATTGTATTATTGTGTTACCATCCGTTTCCATTCACTTCCATTCACAGTTCACATACACACACATTCAGAACCGCACACACATCATAATAATATACATAATTATGAACTATCGCCCATCAATCATCAATCACATGGTTATATTATAATTCATGACTGCATGAGTGTGTATATGAACTGCAGTATTTAAAGTAAACAGAGTACCTACACTTTTACTTACTTACTACTCTGTTGAAGCATTAAAGAGTTAAGAGAGAGTTAAATGAGAAACAAATTATAATTTAGTAAACGTATATTATGTAGTATGTACATTGTACGTAACATTCAAAGCTTAGTATCAATTAATAAAATGGTATAAATATCAATTCTTAGGATTTAAATTGTATTTTAGTTGTTTTCTTCTCGAATGACGAACCTATAAAGGTATTATACCTTTATACTATGGTCCAGAAATAATAAAATAATTTTAAATATTATGCAGAACAAATAAGGGTTTTATTCCAATAATTTAACAATTTAAAAACGTCTGGTATTAGGAAATAAACAGGTTTTAAGTTAATCGTTTAGTTTTCAAGGACGTAATGCACAATAGGGTTCGATAGAGCCATAGAGGGTCACTTGTTTATCATCACCATTTTTTTGATTCGTCTTTATACAAGTAATATGACGTAGTAGCTACGTTATGAAAATCCTTTTTTTAAAGACTATTTTATATTATTTAATAGCTTCAATAAAATGATTACAAAAAATTGATGTATAATTTTATATTAACCTCGGTTAATTAACAAAAATATACATATTTTCGATTAGGTAAAAAACACTCGACTAATGCAGTCACGTTGTTTTATATAACTTATCACATTTTCCCCAGCAAAAAATAATCTTAAAAGATCATTAATTTGACCTCATAACTAAAATTAATAATAACATAAAATACATATTATATTATTTCAAACACAATATTTGACGGTTATAACGAGAA